CATTTGATGCATGGGTTTAACATTTTTCGTTCGGATCAAGAGATTTTTGTTGAGTTTTTAAAAAATTTAAGGGAGGCTTTTGTTAAAATAAAACTATAGGAGATGTTTTTATGATTGTCAGAAACTTGAAGGAAGGTTTTCATATTTTACCCAAAATAAAAATTAGGATAAAATATAAAACCTTTCTTGACATTTTTCCCAAGGCTCAGTTTGAAAGGAGTATAAATATAAATATGTAGAGTGCAAACCTTGAATTTTGTATGCATTTATACCGTCTTTCCAAACTCCTAAATTCTGAAACCTCCTACTTTTCCAAATGGACATCATGTTTGGGTGAATTTTTTACAAACCCAATTCTGTCCCTTTTTGCATGTGAAATCGTGTGTATAAGTAATGTCATCTTTTTTCCGTTTGCTCATCAATTTAATCAAAAAGAGAAGTGAATACTCAGAAGTTTAGCGTATTTTACATTAATATTCACATTTCAAGATAATTTTAACAGGGTTATAGAATGGTAATGTTGTATTCTTTTTGTAGTTAAAAAACCCCCAAGAACACTAAGTTTTTAACAGCAAGGATAAGTTCTTAAAATAAGGAATGCCAAATGCAGCCTAAGACTTGCTCGATCAAATTTCCAGGGAAAAAGAGAAGGGAGGATGAGAAAGATAGAGAGGATCAGAGGAAGAAGAACAAGAAGAAAAAAGGGGGCATGGTTGGTCGGTCGATTGAACTCTGTTCTTCCACAAAGAGGAAGGAAACGAACAGAGGCGGTGATTCAATCCGACCATTCTCAACGGACTGCTCAAAACAGAGGAGTTGTAGAAGGCTTAAATCTTTAACAACTTTCTTTCAGAGTAATTAGAGTAAGAAAAGAATTTAGCAGAAGAATTTTTATTTTGATTTTTCAATCTCTTTTTTCTATTCAAAAACTGTTTGAATACTTCTTTCCTTATTTTTATCCTAAAAATTAATTAAAAACTACCGTTGTAATCAATATGGAATCAACATGTTGGATGACGTTGAGACTTCACAAGACTCTGAACTTTTGTTCCTCTGCCTAGATCCACCAACAAAAGGATTAGGGTTAGGGTTATAGCCTTATAGGAAACAAGAAAGAAATAAAAAAGCCATCACTATCATTAACATCCAACGTAGCCCTTTGCTGTAAAAGGCAAGTCATGACTCATGGCGCACATTTCCAAAAATAGTGGATTAAGCAGTATTTGGTCTGTGTGTAAACAGTACAAGGCTGTGTGTTGGTTCTCTGTAAAAACTCTCAAAGATACAATGATAACAGGCACGTTTTCCCATATAGTTTCTGGCTATAATGAGAAAGTTTCAAGCAGAAAAAGATTTCTTCACCCCAATTGCACGAGATAAATTGATGATAATTGACATTAAGAAGACTTTATGAGAGATTTCTGCACCAAGAATCAAGGGGGATTAATTATTAGATAATTCACAATAAGCATTGGTTTTGTCCTTGTTGACAATACCATTCAATTTTAAGGCCAAGTTATTCACAAATAAGTTTAAATATAAAATCTTCATGGCAAAAAAGGGTTACTCGTGTAGGGATGGCAATTTCCATTTTATACCCTACCCGGTAGAGAGGGATCAAAGCGAATCGAACTTTTCACCAACTATTGGAGCTCATCTCGGTTCAGTTTAAATCAAGCTTCAAGCAAAGCTTTAGCCTAGTAAAACTTGGTTCACGAGGCTTGCAAGCCTAATCTATGTTTATAATAATAAATAATTTTATGATTCTTATTTTTTGTATGTAAAATAAAAATTTATATATATATATATATATATATATATGTATAATAATAAATATTATATATAATATTTTTATTTTTACATGTACAATAATAAATAATTTTATAATTCTTCATTTTTTGTATGCAAGATAAAAAATAAATTTTAAATTTTTAGGTTTTATTTTTTTTAGGAAGCTTGGTTCATGGTCAAGCTCGAGCTCAAGCCTAACATTGTTTTGGTGAGCCAAGCTCGAATAGCTAGGCATTCAGCTTGGCTTTGGCTCAAAACCACCCCAAACATGGGAAGGTTTTTTTTTTCCCTTGAAAAATGGATTTTGGGACAGGATTGGTATTAGGCTAAACCCAACCCTCCCCAACCTGCATATTGTTGGAAGGCTTATGAAATTATGTACTAGATGTTGAATGTAATAATTTTTTTTGATAAATTGAATGTAATAATTTTTTGAAATTTATGTAAAAGATAATTGATAGTTTGTGTTTTTTACATATTTAATCAAATAATTGAAATTTTTATATTTGTTCATGCTATTTTACTTGTTTATTATATATAACAAGAAATAATAAAAAATTAAATGTGGGTTCTAGACCTAACCCCACCTTCAAATAATAGTGTAAAGGAGGGTTTTGCATTTTCACATGGGAGAATTTGGGTTTTGAAAATCCAACCTGCTACATGTTTTGGGGAGGGCATGTATTGGGAGGTCTAGGGAGGTGGGGTAGTAACTAGAATTTACAAAACCTTCCTCAAACCTGCTTTGTTGCCATCTTGTACTACACAAGATACTCCTTAGACTTGGGCTTCTTGGTATTGGAATATCTTTGACCGCTAAAGGTGTTGGGGTAGTGACCAGAACAAAAGCCACTATCTAAAGGTGTTGGGGGTGAGCAAGGGCGAACCTAGGATTTTTTTTTCCTGATGGGGCCAAAAGCTAGTAAACATGGGTAGGGGGACCATAATATAGTGGAGATTTAAATGGGCATTGTGGAGATTTTAAAGGCAAAAGAGAAAGGGGAGGGGGATGGCCCCCTCCATCACGCCCTGCCCTGGCTCCGTCCTGGGGAGCCAGGACTTCTGTTGACTTCTCTGTAATCCTTGGTAACGCCTTCATCAGTGACTTCAGTTGACTTCTTTTATGAATCAAAACTTAAAGTTCCCAATGAAGCCATACAATGCTGGAAAGAAGGAATTACCTTTTTCTTTCCAGCATATCCATCAAAGGGATTACAATATTTGTTTTGAAAGGTAGAAGGAATTACCTTTTTCTTACAATATTGCATAGTTTGCATGAAAGTTGGCCTTATTTTTCATAAACATAGTGCAAATCAGGCCCCAGAGCTCATTCCAATGAACAGAACATTTTTTCTAATTTTGTTATCAAAATGGAGAAAATAATTCTTTGAACCATTGCTGTGAAATATGATTAAGATCTCATTAAAATCTTAAGATTTCATTGAGGACCAAGCTTGTCGAGACTATGTCAAGATCATCAAAATAATCATTGAAGCCCAATCTACAGAGTGGATAGATGAAGCCCCAATCCAGGTCGACTCCACCCCCCAATGCTTATAATTACAATTAAGTAATAAAGGCTTCAATAGTGCATATTAATGTGGCAAGAAGATTATGATCACAAGGCAAAAACTGCTACAGATTACAGAATAATTTTGCAATGTAGAATGAAATGCAACACACAAAGTGACCTGCCCCAAAAATCCATAGTTCATAAATGAAGATGGAACACATTCAAAAGCAGTTTGGGCAAAAATCTCTAAATATGCAAACATGATATCTTTAACAAAGTATCAGAACCAGTAACTTTTGAATGTTCCAAAATTTGGTATTTCTAAATGTACCGAATATGAAAAGCACAAAAAATGGTCTGAATTTTATCACATCATTCATTATATGAACCATGCATTTAGATCATCATCATCATCCATGCCTTATAGCAACTATATGGGGTCGCCTACATGAATCCTGTTTCACCAATCCGTTCTATTCAGATTTGGTTAGTTATCCATTGAGAAACACTTGCATGTGAAAGGCAAGATTTCCCAAGTAAATATCATCCAAACAGAATTACTAACCTATTTTTTCGGATGTTCTCGTGATTGAATCCACAGCCATAGAAGTAAATCTTAACTACATATTCAAGAAAATTAACAGTGGGAAAAAATAGAGTCATAGGTAAAACCTTAAAAGCAACAAATTGACTACAGATACTCATACTGCAAATAAACAATAAAGAACCAAATCATTCATACACGAAATCCAGATTTATTTTTTAACCTTACAAACTCCAGTCTCCAGAACTATTGAGGTCAATCTCTAAAATGGCAGCTACTCATATTCTAGTTAGTTGAAGACAGAATCCTCCTCTTGAACAACACAATCCTACTGTATTATCTATACCTATGAGGTCAACCTTACCTATATTTTCTCTTCCTCCTGTATATGGACTATGAAGTTCACACCTGCTGTGACACTGCATTATCTTGTGATCTCCCAATGAAAGACAGGCATATGATTCCCTCTTATTTAGATTCAAGACGCCAAAGTGATCTGATTTTCGTTTATTGGCTGGCATCCCTGTGTTTCATTGGAAGTTGCAAGATGTGAACTCATGTATATGTATGCTTCATTTGGCTCACTTAAAGTGACTTCAATAGATAAATAGGTCGGTAAATTCTTTCAAACCTAATGCTTGCCCAGCAAACTCTCCCATTTGCTCTTCTCCCAAAATCCTAACACTGGTAGAAGGGTCAGCTTCTGTAGGTGCCTTTTCCTTGACCGCAGACTCTTTATCTCCATGATACAACCATGTCCTCCCTCCCGCCCTCCCTTTCTCATGGAGAATGGGCCAGTCAAAGTTACAATTAGACATTCAGGGCGTGCTCTCAATTGTTGTCATTTTTCACCACAAAATACAGAAGCCATTTGCCATTGTAGTATTTCATTTGAGCTTGTGGAAAAATGTCTGTTGCTAGTAGACTCAACCCTAAAAGCTTTGGAAGCCTTATTTTTCTAACTTCTAAATAGTCTCTTAATTCAAGGACCACCACAATTGTTAATGGTTTCTGCATTTTGCGTCAGCCTTTTATTGAAAAAGAAGCTTCCAGTCTTATATTGAGAGAGAAAAAAATAAATAAACAAACAAATTAAATGATTCACAGTACCTTTTATTCTTTTGCCATAGGTTAGTCAACGCACTATAGATGAGAACCCAATTAGATGACCACCATTAGATTCTGTAAAAGGGAAGTGATATTGCAAAATGGATTCATACACAACCCAGTTGATTGAAGTCACAATTAAGCGGCAGAATAAAGTATTACGTTACATTCGCACATTCTGAATTTGGTACTATTATGTTAAACTTGACTATATAGCCTATATTTCATCTCAAATAGGGGGCTGCAACTAACTAGAAGATCAAATTGTTTAGCGGGAGGGGAACGGATTGAAACCGCTTTCAGCCATAGCCTTGAGAGGTCGAAAGAGTGGTTGGGGGAGGTTATTCCAATCGAACCAGTCCCATCCATCACATTTGTTGGGCTCGAGGTTTTGAGGAACTTGGCTGGGATCTTTCAAGACTGCACGAATGAATATGGTAACATAATGAGAGGGCTTTGCTTCTTCCAAGAAGAGGTTGTTGGTTACTGTTAGGTACTCCATCTTCTTGATGTCTAGACCAGTTTCTTCCTTCACCTCCCTTGCTGCACAGTCCTCGAAACTCTCACCTGAACATACAATTTGAGATAGAACCCAAGAATCAAAAATCAAAATGGTTGGAAACTGCTGAGCTCTTGGGCCCTGGAGCTCACTTGTGAGTAATGAAGGCATTTTACTCTGCAGATTCTCCAGTGTTTTTGCTCTGGCGTGGTGGATTAGGAAAAGACTCCGGCCAGTTTACTCAGAATAAGAAAAGACCAGGCACAAGGGAAAAACTAAAAACCACTGGTCCACCAAGATCGCATTCACATAAGCGTTGGTCAATAGGATACCCACAGACTATCGGAAGTCGGACGTTTGGGAGGGCGGAGTTGAAGCTTGAGGCATTCAACTAAGCTGGCTGGTTCAGCTGCTTTGAAGTGCTCCGGATAAGCTATTCAAAGAAGCTGAACCTGAGAAGCGGACAACTTATAGGCTGACCGTGTAGGGGTCCATTTCAGAAAGTCAGAAGCAGCTACGCTTCAGCCCTCCCAAACCCAAACGGGCATGCTAACACTCCGGCGAGGCGCAAGGTCGTATATGAAGGGGAACCAAGCAATGGAAGAAAGAAGAAGAATAAGAAGAAAACTGACCGAACTCGAGATGGCCACCAGGGAGCGCGAAAGTGGAGTCGCCGATGGAGGAGCGCCGCCTACCCAAGAGCACAGTTTTCCCATTTATCACGAACACTACCACCGCTACTCTGGGCACTGGTGCACTACTGCCTGCCATAGATGGATGGAGCCGACTGCCGCTTCACCGTCCTCCACCCTTGAGTTCGTGAATCCCAGCCCGGCAGCCCCGGCCTTCTTTCCCTCTACTGAAAAATGAACATTTCCTTTAAAGCCCTCCTACGCCTTCCTAGTACCTACGTTTTACTGGGGGTTTCTTGGGCTGCATGCTACGACTCTACCGGGAAAATTTTGGCTGCTCACACAGTCACACCGGCACACCCCACTCCCGCCCATGCCACGTCAAGATACTAACGGTGGCTGTGTCCCTCCGTTAACTCGCTGTTTGCCCAACTCCTACGGCCTCTTCGCCCCCTCCCCTGCCAAGAGACAAGCCCTAGAGGCATGCTTATGCTCCTCTCTTCCAACTTCCAACGGAATGTACATTCGGACGACAGATCTGATAGAGGATGATTTGATCCGACCCCTTGAGATAATGTGACGTGGATCTGACTCAGTACGAGCAACAACTCAACGCCACAGCCTAATTGCGATTAAGTAACGAGCCTGTAGGATAGCTCGTTACGTCATAGTTTGCTATAGGGGGAGTTCACTACAATGCGAGCTCGAGATCCCCCGAGCTACTGAAAGGGAATACTTCAAGACTATCCCAACTCGCGAGCTAGGGTAACCAGCTCGCTCCAACACTTAGGCAGAAAAGACTGCCCCAAAGACAATCTCGATGAGGATCACCTCGAAGTATCCCTGGGAGCTCGCTACGAAGGAACTCACTACGCGATAGGGTAGATCGCGACTAAGCGACGCGGTGCTCTCAAGAAGATTCTATCTGACAAGACCATACCCATCAGACTGCGCCACGTCTCTTGACTGACGGCGCAGTCCCTGCCCATTCGACAAACTGTATCCACGTCTCTCGACAGATGGTGGCGTGCCTGTCCTCCCGGGATGTGTCACCCATCCAATTGGGTAGTACCCTACAACGGTCACCTGCGCAGCCCTGGCAGGTATCGGCTGCGACAGAAGTCCAGTGGCAGTTACGCCCGATTTGATAAAGAACGCCCCTATAAAAGCTCCTTAGTCGAAGCGGAGAGGGATCTTTGATCGAATACGATTTTGAGTCATCTTACTTGCTCTCGAGCTAATATTGAGAACTCAGTGATCTAGCGCAACCTACACTCTTAGCCTCTTTACACTCTTTACTTTCTCCCCTAGTGTTCTAACTTAAGCTTCGGAGTATTCTGGCCGGGCAAATCCCCCAAGAATCCTTCACCATCTTCTTCCCAAGTGTCGTCCGTTGCCAGCTAGGAGCCAGTCAGCCACCAGGTAGGAGTGCCCGGATCGTGCCGCATCATTTGGCGTTGTCTGTGGGAATCAAGAAGCCTTCCTCTAAGCTTTTACAGTTTCCTTTTCTGAAAACTCAGCATTCATGGCTTCCTCCAGCAACGTCGGACGTGGTGCTAGCCAAAACGCTTTTGGGGAGCAGCCCCAACTTCCTACTGTCTGCATTGGGCAGTTCACCGTCCCCCTCTTCGTGGACGGAGTTCCCAATTTGAACCTGCCTCTCACAGTGGCACCGGCGGTCGCTCCACTCTCTTCCACAATTGAAGCAACCTTTGCTGAACCCTCGGTTGTGCCCCCAGTGGCCAACCCGAACCAGTTGGAGGATTTAATGCAGTGCATGCGAGTCATGCAAGCTCAAATGCAACAATTTCAACAATTCCAATTCTATCAACAACATGTGCTGCACCAGGTTTCCCAATACCAATATCAGTAGCAATTTCCCTCTCTGCCTCAGGCCCAGCCGTCGCTTCCCCCTCGGCATCCGGCCACGAAGCAAACCAAGCCCTCCCACCAGAGTGAGCGACCTTGCCGGGGAAAGGCTTCCCAGGCCCAGGATCCCGCCAAGAGCCAAGCCTCTTCCCATAGCCATAAGGAAAGGCTAGCCATCCCCGCCTCGCAGCCTGTGGGCAGGTCAGGGGCCTCCCAGCCAACCAAGCCCATATCACCCCGACCTTCGCAGTTTGAGCTCCTGCTTGCAGAGAATCCGTTCGAGGTCTTGGCCACAAACTATAGGCAGGGCCCTTCGGTTCAGAGCCACCACCAACAGTCTGGGCATGTCGAGCTCGGCGACACTGAAGCATCAAGCACCAACACCGAGCCAGCAAAGTAGTAGCGAAGACGCCGGTGAGCTCGCCGAATTGCTACCCGAGTCTCTCCCGAGCTCAAAGGAAAAGAGGAGGTATGCTCAGGTGAAGTGAAAGCTACCCCTCTCTTCTCAGTTTCTTCCCCATTATCTCCAGAACTCCTTGTTGTCCCCATGCCAAGGGACTTCAAGCTCCCTCCACTGGACAAGTATGACGAATCCTTCGATCCAAACGATCACGTGGACGCCTTCCAGTCCCAGATGCACCTAGCAAGAGCCAGTGAATCCTACGTGTGTGGCCTTTTCCACCACCTTTAAAGGGGTAGCCCGCACATGGTACCGTAACCTCGCGCCTGGTTGAAGTTGGGCGCAGTTTGTGCAAGTTTTCACCTCCCACTTCATCACCAGCAAAAGGTGCCCGAGAACTCAGGAAAGCCTCCTCGGCATAGTTCAAAAGGAAGGGGAGTCCATTCGGAGTCCCGACCTGGATCTCGTAGTTCGCCTCACCGCAGCCAAGCGAGGTATCACACATAAAGAGTTCAAGTGGCACGTAATTGTCAATCAACCCAAGACCGTGACCGAGTTTCTCAAGCTCGCGGATTGGTTCATAGGGACGAAGGAGAAAATCAACCAGAAGGGCAAGCAGACCCTTGAGAAAAGGAAGAGAGAACCAGAGCCCCCAGCTCAGGGCGACAACAAGAAGAAGAAGGACCAAGCTCGGGGGGCAAAGCCAAATCCGCCTTTCCAACCTCCAGCAGCAAAAAGGAACTATACACCCCTCAACGCGAAGCGGGCCGAGATCCTCATGGCGATCAAGGATGCTCCGTACGTGAAGTGGCCACCTCGGCTGAAGGCGTACCCTAATGTTAGAAATAAAAATTTGTACTGTAGCTTTCATAAAGATCACGATCATAGCATCAAAAGTTGTAAAAATCTCCACGATGAGATAAAAGAACTCATCCGTCACGAATATCTGAGAATTTTTTTACAAAATAATAATAATAATAATAAAGCAGGTCGGCAAGGGGAGCAGAGTAGAGATGCTCCCGAGCTCAGCAGGCAAGCGGAATAGCCGTAGAAGTAGCCCCCCGAAGAGAGACCAATTCGGGGGACCATCCACGTCATAGTTGGAGGCTTAATTGTGGCGGGCTGTACCTTAGCTACAGCTCGCGCATCAGCTCGTGAAGCCGCCAGGGAAGAACAGAACCCCCCAAAGCAGCCAAGGTTGGAAGATCCCATCTTCTTCACAAAAGATGACACGCGCGGGGTCCACTACCCCCATGATGACGCGCTCGTCATAAAGATGAAGATTAACGACTTCAAAGTCAGGCGCGTCCTCGTTGACTTAGGCAGCTCAGCGGACATCCTCTTCAAAGAAGCCTTCGACCAATTGCAGCTCCAGGAAAGCGACCTAAAGCCCGCGAACACTCCCCTGGTAGGCTTCAGCGGAGAGGAAGTCATGTCCCTGGGAAGGATTACAGTACCTGTGGAAGTCGGCACTTGGCCTAGCATAGTGAGGCTCAACCACGATTTCTTAGTGGTCGCAACCCCCTCTTCGTATAACGCCATAGATGGTCGGCCGATTACCCATGCCTTACGGGCTATGGTGTTCACTTACTACTTGGCTATGAAGTTCCCTACGGACTTCGGAATCGGGATAGCGCGAGGTGACCAACTTGAGTCTCGCAAGTGCTACGTCGCCGCCCTTAAAGGGAAAGTCAAGGTGGCCGATGACCTCGAGCTGGAGTGACCTACGAAGCAGAGCAAGGAGCGAGTTGCGCCCACGAAAGAGACCGTCTCCATCCCAGCCTCGACGGAGGACCCATCCCGAACTCTTCAAATCGATGCTTCCATTGAGGAGCCTCTGCGATCTAAGCTGGTACGTTTTTTGCTTAAAAATTGAGATGTTTTTGCATGGTCTGCGGCAGAAATGCTCGGCATAGACCCTAGCATCATAACTCATAAGCTTAATACTGATCCTGTAGTTAGGCCCGTTAGACAGAAGAAACGCAACCTAGCCCTAGAGCGATGGAGGGTAGTCGACGAGGAGGTCGGGAAGCTCCTTGCTGCCAATTTTATCAGGGAAGTCCATTACCCAAGCTGGGTGGCCAACCCCGTTTTGGTGAAAAAGGCTAATGGCAAATGGCGCATGTGCGTCGACTACACCGACCTGAACCGAACTTTCCCAAAGGACTACTTCCCACTCCCCAAGATCGACCGTCTGGTGGACGCGACCTCGGGGCACGAGTTGCTAAGCTTTCTAGACGCCTATTCGGGCTACAACCAGATCAGGATGGACCCGACAAATGAAGAAAAGACTGCCTTCATAACCGAGCTTGGCCTGTACTGCTACAAGGTCATGCCCTTTGGGCTAAAAAATGTCGGGGTGACATTTCAAAGACTTGTAAATAAACTGTTTGAGCCATTGATTGGCCAAAAAGTAGAATGTTATGTAGACTACATGGTCGTCAAGACCCAGTTCTCATGTGACTTAATATAAGACTTGAATTTAGTTTTTGAAATTCTGCGTAGATTTAATATGAAGCTAAACCCGAATAAGTGTGTCTTTGGCGTCACCTCGGGTAAATTCCTAGGATACATTGTTAACTGGTGCGGCATTGAAGCCAACCCAGAAAAAATAAAGGCCATCCTAGATATGAGACCACCCCGAAAAGTGAAGGAGGTTCAGAGGCTAAATGGCCGAATAGCCGCTCTGAGCCGCTTCATGTCCAAGTTGGCAGATCGCTGCCTACCTTTCTTTAAAGCCTTTAAAAGCAAAGGGTTTGAATGGACCCAAGATTGTCAGCTCGCATTTGACGAGCTCAAAAAGTACCTCGCCAGCATACCGGTCTTAACCCGGCCCGAAGAGGGCGATGTTTTAGAGTTGTACCTCTCGGCAAGTGACGAAGTGGTCAACTCGGTACTAATAAAAGAAGTAGATCGGGTCCAACGACCTATCTACTATGTTAGTAAAGTGTTGCAGGGAGCAGAGACGAGGTATCCAAAGATAGAAAAATTGGCTTA